AAAAAAAAAAAAAACAAAAAAAAAACAGGTTTCTGCATGATAAGGTAAAGCCACAAGTGGTCCACCGAGACATTCGCGCGACTAACGTGCTTCTGGACGAGGACTTTGGCGCGCATCTCATGGGAGTCGGGCTCTCTAAATTTGTCCCGTGGGAGGTGATGCACGAGAGGCGAGTTGTGGCTGGCGGGACTCACGGCTATCTTGCTCCTGAATTCGTCTACAGAAATGAACTCACCACAAAGAGTGATGTATACAGCTTCGGAGTCCTTCTGCTTGAGATTGTCAGCGGGCGTAGGCCTGCACAGGCCGTGGACTCCATGGGCTGGCAGAGTATATTCGAGTGGGCCACTCCACTCGTGCAGGCCCATCGCTATGTGGAGCTATTGGATCCTCTGATATCGTCTTCCTCAACCTCTGTGATTCCGGAAGGTGGGACCATACAGAAAGTTGTCGATCTCGTTTATTCTTGCACGCAACACGTGCCGTCCATGCGACCTAGGATGTCGCATGTTGTACACCAGCTACAGCAGTTGATACAACCGGCTTCCTCGAAATAAGCTCGAAATGTTGTAGTGATGTTGTACTTACTCCTAGGATTTGGTCACCATTTGAGATTTTTCTTAAGATGGTTTATATATATATATGTGTGTGTGTGTGTGTGTGTGTGTGTGTGTGTGACTTTGAACAAGGATAAATTCGATGAACTAGTTCTGGTATATTTTTTACTAGAACATAACACAAATGCATTTCTGAATTCACTAAATTTACAATATATTATTTCGGCGAAAAATTATTTACATTTTTTCATTTGTTGAAGAATAGAAGGAACTATTGGTCAACATCAACCATTGACTATCTATCACAGCTTTTAACGATCCCGGCTCGCGAGAACAGTTCACAGAAGAGTCTCCAAAAACGATAGGACAGCCATGCCAGCAGCCCAGACATCATCTTCTGCTACATGCTCGGCCGGAGAATGACTAACACCACCTCGGCAACGCACAAATAACATTGCAATCTACCCAAAGGCCAATGTGTTTAAAAAGTACACATCTCGAAAAAAAAAAGAAAAAAAAAAAGTACTGTCAGAATGACTAAGATAAAGAAGACAATACCTTAGTTAAATGAGACATGGCCATTGCATCATGACCAGCTCCACTCATAAGTATAGGCACGTTGTCTGAATCTTCGCCACTTAACCGTTTAAGAGCATCATAAGCTGAGGACTTTAGCTTCAAGCTCAACTCAGGATCACAAGCCACCGCATTAGCATCATGCTGATATGAACAAGAAGATTTTGCATGAGCTGCAAACTATTTTCATGGAAAAAAGTTCAAAAAAGATTGGAGGGGAATTTTCACACCTTGCGTTCAACAAGGCACAGAACCGTACGCTTATCACATATTTGGTGCATTCTATTAGATAATTCATAGATGATTGCTTCTCGTCCTAGATCATCCATAGCGCGTATGTCCACAGTGAAGGTCACCTGTATTATACTTGTCAAATTATTCGGGAAAAATGGGCATTTTAATTTTCACAGGAGTTTTTCTGAGTTATTGATTTACTCACTTGCCCAGGAATAACGTTACTTGCACTTGGCCAAGTCGATATTTCGCCAACAGTACAAACGAGAGATCCAGCGAGAGATTGTACTTCAGCTGCTGTGCAGTGAGCATCATAAAATATATAGTCCTCGGGTTTTTTACACATACTTTCGAGCAGTACTATCAGTTCAGCAGATGCAGCCATAGGATCCTGGCGCATTTTCATGGGGACCGTGCCCGCATGCCCTTGTGAACCTTTCACCGTCACCTGCAAAATTCAAGAATCTCGTCTCAAGTCAGATCCAAGAGAACTAATATAGGAGATTTCGAAAAAAAAAAAAAGTTAAAGAATTTATATATTGAACTTTGTATATGAAAAGGCTAATAAGTTACCTTCAGCCGGGTCTGCCCTGCAATGCCTTTTACCAGACCAAGAGGAAGGCCCGCTGTTTCAAGCACAGGCCCTTGTTCAATATGAAGCTGTAAAGCATAGACACCGAGAGAGAG